TTTTTTTTTCCATGTATCCATTCAGGGACGAGCAGATACTCGACCTTTCTGGCAATGTCAGTGGGAACAGTTTCACTTACAAAGGATTCACAATCGTCAAAAGAGAATGGCTGGTTATTTTGGAGTGGCACTGAAGAAATACGCATCCACTCCACTGGAGGTTTTTTTTTCTATATGGCAGTATTGAGGTGGTCAACGTGAAGACTATCATTTTTTTTTTTTGTACATGAAGTCTCCAACCTTCATGTTGTCATGTGACGGAGGGTAGGCAGGACAGAACACACAGAGTAGATGGCAAACGCACAAAGCTTTATTGACACAAAAAGATGAGCCACTCAATAAGGGGTTCGCAGGGTGAAATTCGCCGGTAGGGGAACAGCCAGGAGGGGCTAAAACACTTGTAGTCCAGTACGGGGGCAAAGAAAAAGTCTCTGTAGCAGATTGTAATCCACCCGGGGGCAGTGGGGGGGGTCAACACGGGAACAGTAAAAGCATTTGCCCACGGATCCGACAGAGTGCCTGGTCTCCCAGGGATAGAAAGTAAGACACAGGTACCTGTTGGGGTCTGGAATACGCAGGTGGTTTCTCCTGTTGGACTGGGGTCTCAGGCAACTGGCAGGCAATTCCCCCTGGACTGGGGTCTCAGGCAACTGACAGGCAATCCAGAGGGGGGTAGGTGACTTGCAGATGCTCAGCAGCAGGCAGCTTCCAGTGACAAAGCGGTCAGCAGACAGAGCAGCTTCCCAGGGCCCCAGTGATCAGAAGACAGGGCGGCTTCCCAGGGGACCAACAATCAGCAGACAGGGTGGCTTCCCAGGGCCCCCCAGCGATCAGCAGACAGTGCGGCTTCCCAGGGCCCCAACGATCAGCAGACAGTGCGGCTTCCCAGGGTCCCAGGGGCAGACAGGGCAGCTTCCCAGGGGCCCCAACGATCAGCAGACAGGGCAGCTTCCCAGGGCCCCAGCGATCAGCAGACAGGGCACAGCAGGCTTCGACAGGTAGGGTCTTGGCGGTGCGGGGTCTGTGCCTGGGATGGTTCTGACCTCTGGGAGAGTCTCATGCAGAGCGCTCAGCGGGGATGGCTGCGGAGGCCCGGTCCCCACCCAGAGGGCTTCCAGGGAGATGATTCCAGCAGCGTGCACAGGGAGGGTGGCCTGCTCCTGCGCCAGCTTTTTTAAAGCCAAGCGAGACACTTCCGGGTTGCAACAGCCGGCCCAGCACCGCGTTGCCGGGGCAAAGAGGCACGCCTCCCTCTCTTCGGCCACGTGGGGGGGGGAGCGCGGCCTTTGTCTCCAGCTGCTTTGCCAGAGGAGAGGTGCTAACCGCACCAAAGGGGGCGTTTCCTCCCATCCTGCACAGCCTTTTGATGTAGGCTGGCAGGAACGAGGAGTCTGCAAGGGTGGAGGGATCTGGCAGAGGGACAGCAGGCAAAGGGGGGTGGGGAAGGCACGGGCACTCCGTGACAGGTCACTATATCAGAGTTAAACCAAACTTAATTATCAATCAGCGCAGACATTACATGATTACCCCACTCCACTGAGGAAGTCTGTTGATTGGGCATAACACATATAGGAGTGGAGTGGGGTCAGTCAATGGCCATCTTGATGTCAGCAGTGGAGGTGGTGAGAGAGCTGCCTTTATTTGATGTGTGCTGTACATAGCACTGTCTTGCGTCATTTTAAATATTGTATGTTTTTACTGTATGGAGAGCACTATCTGTCCCTATTTTTCTTTCATGAAATAATGCTTATGTGAGTGGAGGATTCGTGGCACAGTCGAAGCCATCCTGTTTTTAGCCCGTGAAGGAGAACAAGCACCTGTGACCCTTCACTAACCATCAGGGTCTAGTCTGGAGGTAAGCACTTGCAGAATTGTTCATGGGAGGTATATGCATGAGTAGCACTGGTGATCAGTTATAGAAGATATTGGTGCACGGAGAAATTGGGATATGTGGATAATTTGGTGGAAGATCTTACTACTTTGGACTTTACTATCATTTTATAGTGAAGGTTTGTGGGGCATCTTTTGCTGCAATATATCACAGTTGACACAGTGATCGCAGGATCAGGAACCACCCAATTTTAGTTCCCAATCATGAGTGGGACCCTGTCAACGGTGGCAGCTAGAATTGAGCATAAATTATCACTTAAAGTGAAGAACATTTATTGACATATTTTTAGCATAGGGAATCATTCTGGGGGACATTAAAAAGTAGATTGTAGGCAGAAAGACAATTAAAGTGACAGTCAGCACTCCCATTATGATCTGTATTTAACCTCCCTAAAGCTCAATGTGCTTTAACCATATTAATGAGGTTGTAAAGCTTCATTTTGTTATAAATAAAATAACAAACATGTCATGCTTACCTGCTATTTGCAATGGTTTTGCATTGGCGCAGCCCCGATCCTCCTCTTCTTGGGTCCCCCGCCAGTGCCGCTGACCTCTCCCCTCTACCGAATACCCCTAAAGCACACTACTTGCTCTAGGGGCAGACATGCATGTTTGCTCTTGAGCCAGCCCTGTATGTCAATAAAACACACAGATCGCAGTGCAGATCAGCCCCGCCCTTAGCTCCCTTCTCGCTGGCTGTGATTGACTGCAGCACGAGCCAATGGCTACCGTTGCTGTGTCTCAGCCAATGAGGATATGTCTATATAGCTACATAGTTAGTCCGGCTGAAAAGAGACAAAAGTCCATTTAGTTCAACTATAAAATAAAAAAAAGTTATAATCCTATACTCAGTTGATCCAGAGGGAGGCAAAAAAAACTTAACAGCAAAGCATGATCCAATTTGCTCCTGCAGGGCAAACAATTTCTTCCTGATCCACTGAGAGGCAATTGGATATTACTTGGATCAACTTCACCTGTTAGTATCCAGTTATACACTGCTCAAAAAAAATGAAAGGAACACTTTGAAACACATCAGATCTCAATGGGGAAAAAAAATATCATGCTGCATATCTATACTGATATAGATTGGGTAATGTGTTAGGAACATAAGGATGCCCCCGTCATTTGATGGAAATGAAAATTATCAACCTATGGAGGACTGAATTCAAAAACACCCCTGAAAATCAAAGTGAAAAAAATTATGCAGCAGGCTAGTCCATTTTGCTGAAATTTCATTGCAGCAACTCAAAATGGTACAGTAGTTTGTATGGCCCTCACATACAGTTGGGCAAAAAAGTATTTAGTCAGCCACCAATTGTGCAGCTGCTTGCTCGTACAAGGTATGAGCAGACAATTTACACTGACAGTCTGCAGGAGTCTTGTGCTGCATTGCACCTACAATCTGTTGATGACAGGTGCAATGCTTTGCAGGCTCCTAGTAAAAAAAACAAAAACAAAACATAAATGCACTTTTTTTTTTATCTGCAAAAGGATGTGCATTCAATATTTTTCTTTTTTTAATAGAAAAAAGGTGAACTTACCCTCTATAAGCTTAAAAAATAAAACAGAAAGCTTTGTAGAACATAGCCGTACACATCTCTTAAACAAGCTGTATCTTTAAAATGGTACTAAAAGTAAAAACGTTTGTGTTTACACTACTGCCATACTTGCGCCCCTCAATCCCTAAACATATCCTCGGCTTCTCTCTGAATCCAGCACTGTCCTGCCAGCGGAGCTGCTGCTCTCTCTTCCTGATCTCACAAGAGATCCTAAGAGCAGCGGGGAGCCATAGGCTCCTGCAGCAGTCAAATCCTGTAAGGACAGAGCAGGGGGTTAGGCCAAGTCACGATGTGCATCTATAGACACACACAGCCTGGCTCAGGAGTGCACCTGCTTGAGTTTCTCCTCAGCACATGGCTTGCTGAGGGGGCACCAACAGGAAAGGAGGAAAGGACAGCGCCAGCAGGGAACTCCATAAAAGAAGGTAAGGGACTGCTGTGTGCAATACCATTGCACACAACAAATATAGCACACTTTTTTTTATTTTAACAGAAAAAAAAATGTCTTTACAATCACTTTAATATACATAGCCTTAAAAGTATCAAATACTATACAGTCCTAACTCATTAAATACAAGTCAGCCAATTTAGTCAGGTAAGCTCCCTTCATTAGTTGGTGTAACATTTGAATATTTATACTCCTACAGCTTTAATATAGGGCCAGGTTATCAGTTTAAAAATAGTTTACAGTAATGTACAATCTTGAAATACTCATTTTAAATCAAGCAGATTTTTAGGTAAGAAAAAATTAATTTCTAAAAATTCAGTATTCTGGACTTCCAGTGGTAAATCCAGCTGATTTCTGTAGTTTTAATGGTCAAACATATTTACACTTATAAATTCACTAGTCCTGTTAGCTGAGCAGTTTTCACATTTATAAGGAAATAATTAAAATCTGCAGGGCCTAAAAAAAAAAAAAAACCCAATAAAATAAAACGAGATAATATAGAATTCTGCCTCCTCTATCTGCATGGCAAACTGTTTAGTGGTCTCCAAACTGTGGCCCAAGCCAAATCTGCACCTTTGCTTGCTTTTATCCAGCCCTTGGGGCACCATTACTCCCACTGATACCAATAATGGGCAGTATTCCTCCTCCTACAGTCCACATTAAATTATTTTACTCCCACCAAGTCTGGGCACTATTTACTCTCACTGATGCAAGGATATTTTCTACCCCCCTATTGGCCACAAACCAGCCTACCTAAAGTCTAAAGGACAGTAAACTGGCCTATTGTTTAAAAAAGTTTGGAGACCCCTGATCTGATATTAAAGAAAATAGCAAGTATATTGATCAGTGCAAGGCATTTATACAACAAATATACAATAGAAATTTAAATCCTTACAGCTTTAAGTTATCGTAAATGTTTGATCAATTCTAAATTAGTCAGCATTACAGCAAAAGCAAGGTCACACAATCATTGATAACTCTGCATATGGCAGTTTACTGTGCAGCTAATTTTTTCCTTGGCTGTTCAACAATGTACTGTTGGTGAGCAGTTAGTTCATCATCAATCAATCAATCAATAAATAAGGAATGGCCTTTGTAAACAATCACACATTATTGGCATCTTCCTCCCAGCTGAAGTCATTCTCTTCACCCCAGCCTTCTGCTTCCATCTGCAGAAAAAATATATAGGTATATCAGGTATAAGCAAAATAAATATATACACACCTGGGAAAAAACATTATGTAAAACACACACACCTGGGGAAAAAACAGAATAATTGGGGAAAAACTGTTTTCTTCAAAGCGGTTTTGTTTTGTTAAAGACCTTAATGAAAGTTTGCTGAGACTTTATAGAACGTCTTAAATTATTGTAAGTTCTCTCAGCTGAATACAAGCAAATCCTGGAATACCATTCAAGGTACACTGTACTTCTCAATGCAGTTCTCAAACAAAACAAATCTGTATTTCTGCCACTAGGGGGCACTGCAAGGAAAATGCTCCAGGTAGTTTGCTTGTGGTCTCCATCTTGTACCCCCAACAAATGGCTGATTGTTGGAATACAGCAGATGATAGTTTCTGTCTTGTCATGCCTTAATTGACAGGACAAATGAGTTTATCTTATTTACCTTTTAAATGATTCCTATTCATTTTCTCGACCATCACATTTCCACAGTGCAATTTCTGCTGAGAGCAAAAGCTGCAAGTTGCAGATATTGTTTTCCAAATGCTACAAGTATGACAGAACACATCCTTACATGCCAGAGGTGCCCTAAAGACATAATACACTTTATGGGATGAAATGAGGAGGACCAGAATGAAAGTGCAATAAGCTTTTCCCTCCAGAGTTCTTATTCCAGAAACACTCTTTCTGCTGCTTTTGAATCATCACAAAGTGTTTATTCACCAGCAGCATCTTCATGTAAGGAAGTGTTGCAAACCATGGCCTCACAAAAATACACAATACCTTCATTTCTAGATAAAATGACAGCTGAACAAGCTCTTGTAGAAGCAATAGATGCTTCTGGATCAGCGTTATCAATAACTGAAAATGCATATTGGCAGGAAGCTTTTAGATTATTGTGTGGGAAAGGGGGGTGGTTACCTGTTCTCGTGTATAGGTGAAATGTTCCTAACATTTGTAATAAAAAAAATACATTTTTAAAATGCAAGTTTAATTTACTGAATAAGCTGTACTTTTATTTCAAGCATAATACTTTTATATACACTGCAAAACAAAATAACTTTCAATTTGCAAAACTACTCCACACTGATTTTTTCTTTTCCAAACATTTTTGGAAAAAATGGGAAACAACTTTTTCTTTTTTCTCCATCTCTTCAAAATTTTTGGAAATATTACATCTCTAACTAGAGAGAAGATACATTGTGCTACTATAGACTAAAATGAAAAAGGCTGCATTCACACCTGTCCACTTTACAGTGTATATGAACAAAGGTGTATATGCAGTGAAGGATCTTATAGCAGCAGTAAGGGCTTGTTCGTACTACAGAGATCAAAACGTGTGTGTGATCTGCTTTTGGATCATTCTTCACAGAGCATTTGCCAGGTAGTGAGTAGTAAATTTACCACTTTACCACCTGCTTTAACCCCTTGAAAACCTCACTAGTGCACCACCGTGTGCACTGCATATATAAAATAAACACACTTTTTTCCCCACATAGATATGTGCATGCATTTATTTATTTTGCAAAAGGTGGACTTTAACCACTTGCCCTCCTGAGGATTTACCCCCCTTAATGACCAGGCCTCTTTTTGCTACCCGGCGCTGCACTAATTCAACTGATAATTGCGCGGTCATGCAATGCTGCACCCAATCGAAATTTACGTTCTTTTTTTTTCACACAAATAGAGCTTTCTTTCGGTGGTATTTGATCACCTGTGCGCTTTTTATTTTTCACGCTATAAACAAAAAAAGACCAAACATTTTGAAGAAAAACAATATTTTTTACTTTCAGCTATAAAAAATATATAGTAAACTCAAAATTAGTTATAAATTTAGGCCAAAATGTATTCTGCTACATGTTTTTGGTAAAAAAAAATCCCAATAAGTGTATATCGATTGCTTTGTGTGAAAGTTATAGCGTCTACAAACTATGGTATAGATACTGCAATTTACGCCATTTTTTTGCTATACAGCGCTGTGCTAGCTTAACGGACAATTGCGCGGTCATGCGGTACAAAAATGAAATTTGTTTTTTTTCACAGAAATAGAGCTTTCTTTCGGTATTTGATCACCTGTGCGTTTTTTATTTTTTGTGCTATAAAAAAAAAGGCTGACAATTTTGAGAAAAAAAAATACATATTTTGGACTTTTTGCTATAAAACATGTCCAGTAAAAAAAATTTAAAAATCAAATTTCGTCATAAATTTCGGCCAAAATGCATTTTGCGACATGTCTTTGCTAAAAAAAAAAACCCCCAATAAGTGTAAATTAATTGGTTTACGTGAAAGTTATAGCGTTTACAAATGGCGGGAAAGATACTGGGATTTTTAATTTTTTTTTATACTATTCATGGCGGCGATCAGCGACTTATGGCGGGACTGTGATGGACATTTTGACACTGGGGGGAACTGACTTGGGGTCACTGACATCCCCAGTGACACCAATACAGTGATCAGGGGAAAAAAAAACACTGACACTGTACTAATGGCACTGGGGAGGAAGGGGTTAACTTTATTTACTGAAAGGGTTAACTGTGTGAGGGGAGTGTTTTACTAGGGGGCGGGGGTGTGTACTGCATGGGGGCTGGACACGCTGATCGGGAGAGAGAAACTGTTCTCTCCAGCTCAGCATGTCAGGAGCTGACAGGGAACTGACAGAAAGCAGAGCTACTGCAGCCCTGCTCTCTGTCAATGACTGCCGCTAATCGGCGGGACACAGCCGGTAACGACCGGCTGTGACCCGGCAACTGACATCCACGGCCGTGATCGGCGGGACAGGTAGGGCAGTGGCGCGCCTCGCGCACGCCCCCTACCTGTTTTGCAAACACACGTTTTAAAACGTGGTTTTGCCTAGCCGTGCCGCCCTGCCGCCATATTTCTACAGTGGCTGGGCGGCATGTGGTTAAACTCTGCTTGTTTAAACAAGGACAACCACTGTGTGTTTTCTGAAGCAGGTTGACCAGTACTTGTTTATGCAGGACAAACTTATTTTTTACCCCATGCTGTATATATTTCTCTATATTTGTCCAGTGCTGTTGAGCTTTTTTTTTTTTTTATTATTACTAGCAAAAATGGCAGCACTGCTTTGTATTTGAGGATCTTGTGCATGGCATACAAAGGTCTGGAGAGAATTAAGATCAATAACGATCCATTCAGAACTCTCACTGCTAACTTAAAGCAGAAGTCCACAAATAGTTCTGGATTGCCAGCATTATGACTTTCTCTCATATTAAAGAAATTGTAAAATCTATTTTTTTTTAATAACAAACAGGACATACTTACCTGCTCTGTGCACTGGTATTGCATAGAGCAGCCCCAATCCTCCTCTTCTCAGATCCCCCGTCGACGCTCCTGGCCTCTCCCTCTTGCTAAGCTGCTTGCTAAGGGGGCAGCTGAGCAGGCTTGCTCCTGAGCCGCTGCTCTGTGTCCATTCAAACACAGCCGTGGCTCCGCCCCACTGCCTGTTCTCTCCTTACTGACTCAATGACTTTAACAGTTGGCTCCCGCTGCTGTCTCAGCCAATGAGGAGAAAGTGAGACCCGAGGCTCGCATTCACATCGCTAGATTGAGGGGGTGCTCAGGTAAGTATTCGGGGGGCTGCTGCGCACAGGTTTTTTTTTTTTCCCACCTTCCTGGATAGAATGCATGAAGGTTAAAGAAAAAAAATCCTTGAGCCTTTACAACCACTTTACGTTCGCTTTTAATGAAATTTCAATTCTCTGTACCTAAATAATATGTTTCATTTTACCAAGTGAGAGTAGAAGAATGGTGCCTGTAAGTCATACTACATTTCCCTTGTGGCTTTGCTTCAGGGTGAGAGTTCATGGAAATTTTGATTTTCTCTTTATAACTGATAGCCCTGGCTTCTCTCGTATGCCGACTATGACAAAGCTGTGATGCCAACATCCCCTGTAGTGCTTATGATTACAGGGGACATGTCACAGCCAGGTGTGGCGAGCAGTTAATCCCACACAGGGCACCATGCAGTTCAATACAGGAAAGGATGTAATAGCAAGAGGTGCTATTGATCATCACAAAAACCTGCAAGGTATGAAGGAAAAGGATTAAATGGACAACTGTTTCCAGACACTGCACAAGGTATTGTATGTAATTCAAATGAAAAACCCCATTCTAAGTATTTCTTTTTTTTTTTTACCTCTGTATTTTCAGCAGCAGCAAATTTGGATGAAAATGTAGCAGTTTGTTCTGAATCTGTTATAACATCAGTCTGTGTTTTATTTTCAAATTCATGGTATCCAGAAGCAGAAAAGGCAGAAGAAATGTTTATTTCCGGTGTCATATCTGCAAACCAATCTAGTTCTGGGTCTTTGCTTTTGCTCTTGACTTTTATCGTGAATTCATCTCCCAAACTGTATCCAGACTCAAACCTATTTTTTGGGACCTGTTCTGGGACAGGATCTGTCTTAGATTCCTTTTTCTGTTTCACAGTATGTGAACTCCAGCTATTAGTACTCTTGTCCAGTTCAGAAACAGGGTTTACAGAAGACAGATGAACAAACTTGTCAACAGGAATTGTCACAGTTCTTGAACTATCACAGGGCAAGCTAAAATCAATCCATTGCTCCAATTCTGATCTGTCATTAGTTTCTGTAATATCATGTACACTGGGGATCTTCTCGCTTGTGTTCCCTTCTGATTCACTCCAATCTGGCCAATCTTCTGTTGACTGTTGTACTTGATCACAGTTAGTTAGGAGGGAGTCTTTGAGTTTAGAAACCCCATTCAATGAATGTGAAAAGCAGTCCTCTAATCAAAAACAGTCACAAGAGAACAAAAATTACAAACATATACAATATAATATACACATTACAGCTGTGCCAATATTTAGGTCAAATCTCATCAAAGAGAAAAGAGGCATAATTTAAAGTTAACCTTGTAATACAAATCTGTAAGCTAATGTAATTGAAACTGAAGTGCTTAGCATGCTTTTGTAACAGAAAAGGGTATACAAAAGCTTTGGTGCCCAACATTATATTATTTTCACTTTACACACACTAAAAGAGACTATATTGTCCACCTACATTTCATGTTACAGAAAAATTCAGATCAATTGCTCATTCAAAACAGTGCTCATAGAGTGCTATATAATGGGATTTTTTCCCAGTAATTGGGTGGCTCCTCTGTATACAGTACATAACCCATTAAACTCATACAAGAAAAGCTCACTTCCAGACATATGATTAATACAAATAAAGCAATTACTTTTCTTTATTCAACAAGACACATGAAATAACGCACCCTGGATTAAAAGAAAAAGGGCCTATCTGTAATTAATCCAGCAGGATTTCTGCTCGACAAAGCTGATATGTGTGATAACGTCACTGTGTCCTGGCCCCCCCCTTCGGAAAGCTTGAAGATGTCACCACATCCTGTCCCTGTGGGACAAGACGCGGTGACGCAATCACACATCAGCTTTGTCGATCGGAACTGCCGTTGGATTGAAAACAAGTAAGCGCTTTTTACTTTGCATTTAATGTTAGTGTTTTTAATCGATCTCTAATAAAGTGTTGTTTACATATTCACACAATGGTTGGCTTTTTCTTCATGTGTGCACACCGTTATTGATATTATGAACTGCAGAGCTAACACTTGAGTGCTTAGAGTTGCACTGGAGGTTTTATTTCTTATGCTTGTTTGTAACTGGGGGTCAAGGTGTTCTGATAAGTGCTTTTTCATTTAGGTACTGGGACCATGGTTCACTGGGAGATATGAAGATCTGCAACATCTTCTGAGATTTGTACTGAGATGAGGACTTACATTGCACTGATTAAGTTACTTGTACATGCATGGCACATAATGTTACAGGTTTGATTAAATACAGGTATGTATCAAGTTTGGATCTTATATGCATTTTTATTTACTTTAACCATTTCAATACCAGGCAATTTTACACCTTCCTGCCCAGGCCATTTTTCACGTTTCAGCGCTCTCACACTTTGAATGACAATTGCGCGGTCATACAACATTGTACCCAAACTAAAATTTTATCATTTTCTTCACACAACTAGAGATTTCTTTTGGTGGTATTTAATCACCGCTGGGGTTTTTATTTTTTGCTAAATTAACAAAAAAAAGACCAAAAATTCTGAAAAAAAACATGTTTTTCTTTGTTTCTGTTATAAAAGTTTACAAATAAATAATTGTTCTTCATAAATTTAGGCCAAGATGTATTCTGCTACATGTCTTTGGTGACAATAACCCAAATTAGGATGTATTATTTAGTTTGTAGGAAAGTTATAGAGTTCACAAACTATGGTATAGATCTGAAAACTGATCAATCCTGAAGTACTGACAGCCAATCTAATTTCTTGAGGTCCAAGAATGTCAGAACAGTACAGATATCCCCAAATGACCCCTTTTTGCAGAGTAGACAGTCCGACGTACTTCATAAGAGGAATGGTGAGTTTTTTGAAGTTGTATTTTTTTGGTCATAATTTTTTGGAAAATGAAAAAATAAAAAAAATTATTTTCACTATTTTTTTTTTTTTTTTACATACTGTCACCAGTGCAGTACAGCGTCATCATATAACTAACATGGCGGTGAATAGGGACACTGACTGGTGACAGTATGAAAAAAAAAAATATATATTTCTTTTTTCTTTTTAATTTTTTATTACTTTTTTTATTTTTTTTTTAAGATTTTTTTTCATATTTTGCTATGACCAAAGTAGCTACCATAGTAGTTACCATAGTAACATTGTACTACTTTGGGGAAGTGATCAGTATTTGGCCACAGCTAATCACATGACATGTGCATGTGACCTGCTGTGACCATTCACAGCTAGGCACTAGTATACAATGGATGGCATGAATGAAGCCATCCATTGTATACAACTGTCATGTGACCTGCTGTGATTGGTCACAGCAGGTCACATGGTACCGGCAACGGGGGCCAGTACTCAGATCTGTCATCGGCCGTGTCCGAGGTACACGGCCGGTGACAGATCGCGCCGCTGCGCGGCTCTGCAACCGCGCGAACTGCGCATGTGCGGGAGGACGCCAAATGGTGTACACCCCGGAAAGCTAAAGAATTTTTGCGGCCGCCAAACGGCTATAGGCCGGGTGGCTAATGGTTAAATGTTTGATTTACACACAATATATATGTTGGGAAACTTAGCACTGCTTTTTATTTATATTGTATACTAAGGAACCTGGCAGGCCCAGCATAGAGGTGTCTGCCTGTAGGTATCCCATTTTACTCCAGATGTATGTATACCTCAAACTAGATGTTTAGCACTTGCTCAGATCATAACCACCATCATAAATGGATACTGGCAGTAATCAAGCAATCGCAAAGGCAGGCCATAGAGGGGCCTTTTATCGGCCAATAAACAAAAAAATCGGTCGATGCTGCCACCAATGTCTACGAAAAAAGGCAGTTTTTCGGGGATTTTCCAGCATGACCGATAAAAGTAAACGAGAAGATCCGCGAAAAAGAGCCGACGGTATTGCCCCACTAACGGCGTGAATATCGGCCGATTTTTCATGCAGATGAAAATTCGGCCGATAAACGACCCGTCTATGGCCTGCATTACACATGTGTCTCTAAAACTGTCAATCGCTCTAGTAGATAAATAGGTCCTACCATTAGGATATCCCATTTGCAAACACCTGATGCCATACATAACCTAATAAGGCAACTTATATAGAACATATAACCTCTAATAGATAATAGGTTTGTTGTGCTCTTAAAAAACAGGGTACATAACTCAAAGTTCAAATTAAACTTGGTTCATCCCAACTGGGTTGAAAGGATAGGACTGAGATCACTTATAATGGATGTAACAAGCAACCACATACTTATCAAATGTCCAGGTTCTTCATGGAACACAACAGGTCATCCTAGTGATCCACATAATACTGAATTAATCCAAAAGGGAACTTTTGAAATAAGAAGGCTTGAATACCTTGTGTATTATGTTTATCCAATGTCCCAGGCTGTTTTTGTTAATGTATATTATGTCGTGCCAAATAAAGAAAAAATACTTTGCATATATTAGCAGTTATATATTTTTTTGGAATCAATAAATAGGTTATTTGTATTAAAGAAGAATTCCAGCCTCACCTGTTTCTGTCCCATCTGCTTCTACCTCTGGCACTTAGTGGAGAAGGGGAGAAAATCACAGAGTAACACCAGTTTCCACTGTGTACCTCTAAACTTTCATTAAAAGGACATTACAGCAGGCAATCTTTTTTTGTCTACAGATTCCTAGTCTGCCACAAATCTCACTGACTATTTTAGACTGTTGCTGACACAGCCCCTGGGTTTTAGGACCTGTCAATCACAGCTACCATGTCCGAGATGGTGTACCCAACTTCCATAGCCAGTTTCATCCGAATGTAAATACCTTCTACAGAGCCTGTCCACCTGTATACTTTAGGACTCTGAATCTGCAGCTAACAGTGTGTTGCAAGTTACTTTGTTGTGTTACTTATTACATTAGGATCTACTGTATGATGTATTACCCACTTATACAGTATCAGTAAGGGAGTGCTCAGCATAGTGTCTGTGCAGTGTAATCTGGACTGCAAACACAATAAACACACAGCTTACCACTGATAACATTCAAGTAAAGCTGTGTGTATTAGCTTGGATAGGCATGGTGTCTGCTAAATGTCAATCACTACTGAGTGGCCATGTAGAAAATAAAAAGATAGCAGTTGCAATTGTTTATGTTGCACAATGTTTGTGCAACTGTTTATCAATTGCATGTTTTCAGGAAAATATATAAAATTAATTTTTAGTACAAACACATGGTAGAATACCCAATTTTTTAAAAAAAATATAAAAGATGGGTTTGCATCGAGTAAACAGGTACCAAACATGGCAAGTTTTAAAACCGTGTACTTCCATTGTTTCACAAGAAAAACTATGGTACCCAAAAAACATGATTTTTTTTTTTACTTACCATAAAATCATTTTCTCCGAGTTCACTGAAGAAAATTACCTCTTTTATTCTTGTCCACAGGGTTTAATAGCACCACCTACAGGAGTAGGACACTAGGAAGATATGAAATACAGCAATGCCTATGGGCACTCGAGGCTGGTATAAAACCCCCTCTCTGCCATAGGCACGCCAGTTAGTCACAAGTAAAAAAAAAAGAACCAAGCAGTGGGGTGGGTGCCGTGTCTGTCATTGAACTCAGAAAAGGGGATTTTTACGGTAACAAAAAATCCTGTTTTCTCTTTCATTCTTTAATGGACACAGCATCTTCTATTCTTGACCATACGACATCCCAAATCAGTGCCTCAATGAGGGGAGGGAGACCAGAGAAAAAAAAAGCACCAAATCACCAAGAACCCCCCAGAAGAGGAACAAAAACTACAAACAGCAGGCTGCAAACCCTTGCGGCCAAAACATACATTTGACAATGCCTTTGGTAAAAGTGGTAAAGGAGTGCACAGACAACCAGATAGCTGCCTTGCAAACGTGAGGCACAGAGTCAAAAGATGAAAATACCCAAGGGGCAGTAATCACCTTAGTAGAGAGTGAAGTAAACGTGAAAGGTAAAGCCCAACCCTTAATGACTGAAGCCTGAACAACCATCTGCCTGATCCAGCAAGAAATTGTGGCAGAAAAGGCTGCCAGGCACCTTGGTGAGCCGTCCACACACCCAAAATGAGAGAGTCCGACCACCAAAAATGAAAAGATAGCAGACAGGTACACACAAACCACCTGTTCGCTGTCACAGCAATGCCAGGACAAGGCCAGCACCTGGTGAACCCCTGAGGAGTGGGCGCCAACCCAAAGGGAAGCGCAACAACTTGATAACGCGTGTCCCCAACTGCAAAACACAGGATTACAGCTGCCTGGCAAAAAACAAGAATGTGTGAGTGCAGTCCTTGATGTCTATGAAAACCAGGAAATCCTCCTGGTGCAGAAAGGCCACCAGGGCATGGATGGACTCCATCTGGACTTCGGTACAGCAATAATGAAATTCAGAGGAGCTTTGAGGTCCTCCTTCCTTCTTTGGAAATGTGAACAGGTTGGAATAACCCCCCAATCCCTCTGGTTCGGATACCACGGTTATCACCCCTTGAAGAAGCAAATCCTACACTACCTGTAGAGAGCCTGAAACGAGGAAGGGGATGCCACAGAATCGGAAAGCAGAGAGTTACACGGTTAGCAAACCAATAGAGGCGACCCCTCCCATTCTGGATGTCAGAAGAACGCAAGCCTAGGATTACTTGTTTGTTGGCCTAGTGGGCTTGTGAGGCCTGGAGCACTTTGCACCAGAGACCTCGACATAGAACCACAGTTGAGGCAGAGAGCCAGAAGTGAGGGCAAAATATATAAGTCAAAAAAGCTCAAAATCCTTCTAATAGCTTTTATTTCCATATACACAAATGAATTGGGAACACTACACATTCTATTCCAAATCAAAACACAAAGAAAAATATATCAAATTTGTGTTGTTCCTCTAAAAAAATTGCAGAAACGTAAATTTTAGACTGTTCAAAAAAATAGCAGTGTTTTGTATTCTTTACAAACTCAAACATTCACTATATAAACTGAAAAATGTTTGAAGATTTTGCTTTCCTTTGAATCACCTAATATTTAGTTGTATAAGCACTGTTTCTGAGAACTGCTGTACATCTGTTGCATGGAGCCAACCAACTTCTGGCACCTGTGAACAGGTATTCCAGCCCAGGATGATTGGACTACATTCCACAGTTCTTCTCTATTTCTTGGTTTTGCCTCAGAATCTGCATTTTTTTATGTCACCCCACAAGTTTTCTATTGGATTAAGATCCGGGGATTGGGATGGCCACTCCATAACGTCAATCTTGTTGGTCTGGAACCAAGATGTTGCACGTTTCCTGGTGTGTTTAGGGTCATTGTCTTGTTGGAACACCCATTTCAAGGGCAATTCCTCTTCAGCATAAGGCAGCATGACCTCTTCAAGTATTCTGATGTATTCAAACTGATCCATGATCCCTGGTATGCGATAAATAGGCCCAACACCGTAGTATGAGAAACATCCCCATATCATGATGCTTGTGCAACCATGCTTTGCTGTCTTCACAGTGTACTGTGGCTTGAATTCAGTGTTTGGGGGTCATCATCTGACAAACTGTCTCTGGCCACTAGACCCAAAAAGAACAATCTTACTTTCATCAGTCCACAAAATGTTGCGCCATTTCTCTTTAGGCCAGTCAATGTGCTCTTTGGCAAATTGTAACCTCTTCAGCACATGTCTTTTTTTCAACAGTGGGACTTTGCGGGGGCTTCTTGTAGATAGCTTGGCTTCACATAGGCGTCTTCTAATTGTAACAGTACTCACAGGTAACTTTAGACCTTCTTTGATCTTCCTGGAGCTGATTGTTGGCTGAGTCCTTGCCATTTTGGCTATTCTTCTATCCATTCGAATGGTAGTTTTTCGCTTTCTTCCATGTCTTTCAGGTTTTGGTTGCCATTTTAAAGCATTTGCGATCATTTTAGCTGAGCAGCCTATCATTTTCTGCACTTCTTTATATGTTTTCCCCTCTCCAATCAACTTTTTTTAATAGAGGTACACTGTTTCTTCTGTCTGGAACGACCCATTTTCCTCAGAATTTCAGAGAGAAATGCACTATAACCAGCATGTACAACATTTGCTGCCTTCTTTCCTTAAATAAGGGCAATAATTGCCACCTGTTTTTCAAAGAATGAATGACCTCACTAATAGAACTCCACACTGCTATTATTTTGAACATGCCCCTTTCAATTAGTGATTCAATTACACAGAATCAGCAGCATGCCTGTCATGACTGTTGGGTCTGTTGGATTTCTATTATTCTACTACACCTGCTAGTATATTTATTTGCCATGTAGAAATATAATTTCTACCAAAAACCGTGATTGACCAGGTTAGTGATATCTGACTGCTATTATTTTGAACACAACTGTATATATATATATAACTTTGTTTCTAATTTTTTATAAAAGAAGGCTCTTAGCACATCTCTGGAAGGAAGGTAATGAGCCACCACTGCACCCTCCCTTAGATACAGCCTTCAGCAGAATCTTCACACTTCTGGTTATGTAAGATGCCTGATCCTTTGCTGCTGTTTCTCTACCGTGTTCACCAAAAACACTCTAATAAGATGTTGCCCCACAGAGCAATGGCAGCTAAATGCACAGCTGAAATACATACGTTTTACGGTTTTGCCTTACAAAGGGTATTTCATTCTTACAGCCAGCCTTGTTAGTTATACATTTCCTCAGCTAGACACTAGTAATTTCCCTTTAGACATTTTATTTTACCTATTCAACTTTCAGATATTGCTGTCATTGAGCATTTGAACTACACAATTAATATTAGGACTGCAAGCTGCTAGGCATGGAGTACTGTATTTAACCACTTGCCTACCGGGCACTTATACCCACTTCCTGCCCAGGTCAATTTTCAGCTTTCAGCGCTGTAGCACTTTGACAATTGCGTGGTCATGCAACATTGTACCCATATGACATTTTATCATTTTTTTTTCACACAAATAGAGCTTTCTTTTGGTGGTATTTTTAATCGCCGCTGGGTGTTTTATTTTTTGCGCTATAAACAAAACATTTGGAAAAAAAAAAAAAGTTTTTCTTTGTTTCTATTATAACATTTTGCAAACAGGTAATTTTTCTCCTTCACTGATGTACATTGATGAGGCTGCACTGATAAGTGGCATGGATACACAGCACTAATGGTCACAGATAGGCAGCACTGATGAGGCGGGCACTGATATGCAACAATGATAGGCACTGAGAGGCAGCACTGCTGGGCACTGACTGGCAGAACTGCTGGGCAGCACTGATAGGTGGCACTGCTAGGCCCTGATGGGCAAAGGTGGGTGGCACTGATCATTAGTGCCCTGATGATCAGTGCCAATCTGTTTTCTGCCAATTGCCAGTTACCGGCAGTACTTTCCTAACGCTGTGCATCCGATAACTGGCAACTGCATTTACCTGGTGATCTGTGTCATTGGACACAGCTGATCACCTGGTAAAAGGCTGCTGTGATTGGCCTTTTACCACATCACATGATCAGCTGTGTCCATAGGACGCTGGGTGTGCACGGGAGGGAGTGTTCTGGGAAGACGTCATATGGCGCCCTGCCAGAACTGGACATCCGCGCTGTAGCCGTTCATTCAGCAATAGCGCAGTTGGCAAGTGGTTAAGTTGCTTTGGATTTAAATTACAGAAATTGTGCAACATACTAAGCATTTATCAAAGTCTATAAAACAAACACCATACATAGAATTTATGCACTTACTTTGTATGGAAATATCCTGTAAAATCTCCTTTAGCGATTCTTTCCTGTTCAGATTTTTGTTAATCAGGGAACTGTGGCTCACCGCAAAATTGCTTTTTGCTAGTACTGATGACAGACTGTTTGATGTTGCCTGGTGCACATGGTTATTGGTGCCATGTACAGGCGAACCTGTGGAAAATACAATTTTGATCACATAAAGGAGAAATTTAAAAAAAAAAAAAGACTGAAAAAGAGACTGAACGAGTTGTTTGCAAACATGATTGTAAAGATTTATAGAATACACTACACTATAGTAAGATATGAATCCTCCCAGTGGCACCAATGATGGGATACTATTCCTTTCATTGATACCAACAATTGGGCAGTTTTCCTCCCATTGCCACCAAAGGTGGGGCTCTATTCTTTCTCCCAGTGACTACAATGTCTGGAGCATGGTTTCTTCCCACCAGCGCCAGGACATTTCCTACTTCCACTGGCCACAGTCTGGCCCCCCTCAAGTCAGAAGTACAGTAAACTGGCCCTTTGTTTGGAAACCTATGAAATATAACATAAGCCCAAAAAGCAAAATAAGTAGTGGGAACATAATTTCCGCTTCCTCTGCGAATAAAAACCATTAGTTAACAGTGTTTGATTAAACATATACACAAATAGACAAAGAGCTCACAGATTTTGCATTATGCAATACCCAAAATTTTGTTAGATGTGAACAACTGAGCTGTAATTATGTAGAAACCTCAGTTATGCACCAATCTTATCTTACACACAACTACTAAGCATCAACTTGTCCTAATGTACTAAACGTCACTCTGCGTGGATATTTAAAAGAAACTGGTATTATTATCACCTGCAATATGTCCTACTTGGTTCATGAAGGAGGAAAAGGTTTCAGACATTAATGTGTAAAAACCTGTGATCAATACTTCAGTGTCTCTCTTGGAATGTGAAAACCTGTGTGCTGAATTATAGTGCTGGAATACAGAACACATGAACAAAAATGTGTGGCAGTTGCTCAGAGCTCAATCAGTTCTAGGTTTTTCCTTATGCATATTTTTCTACAACCCCTGGCAAAAAGTATGGAATCACCACTCTTGGAAAATGTTCATTTAATTTTGTAGAAAAAAAAAAAAGAACAATCACAGACATGCCTCAAAACTATTTTCATTTAACTTTTCAACCTTCTGGCTTTAAGAAACACAAAAAATAGTCATTTGCAACTGTTTTTTGCAGATCGAGCAGAGGACAAAAATATGGAATCACCCAATTCTGAGGAAAATATGGGAAAACCATGTACTTTGCAGTTCTAAAACATACATCTGCATCAGATTACATCTGTTAATTAGATTGCAGGTAAAAAAAAAAAAAAAGTGCTTGCACACCTTGGTGAGCTGTTGCACCAAGCTGATTGACATGAATCATGGCTCCTACACAAGAGATATCAGTTGAAACACAGGAGAGGATCATAAAACTTCTTCAAGAAGGTAAATCATCACGAAATGTTGCAAAAGATGCTGGTTGTTCCCAGTCAGCTGTGTCTAAAATCTGGACCAAGTATAAATCAAATGAGAAGGTTGTAAAAGGGAAGTGTACTGATAGACCAAGGAAGACATAAAAGCTTTAAGATAGAAAACGTAAAGCAATATGCCTTGAAAACAGAAAATGAACAACAAAACAAATGAGGAATAAATGGGCAGAACTGGAGTCAGTGTCTGTGACCGAACTGTAAGACATCGCCGAAAAAAAGGGGGATTTACATACAGAAAAGCCAAGCAAAAAACATCAACACCACCTAAAACAGAAAAAAACAAGGTTACAGTGGGCTATAGAAAAGCAATCATGGACTGTGGATGACTGGGATGAAAGTGATATTCAGTGATGAATCATGACACACGAATCTGCATTGGGCAGGGTGATGATGCTGGAACTTTTGTTTGGTTTTGTATTTTCCTCTGCTTGATCTGTAAAAACAGTTACAACTGACTACAGTTTACTTTATTTTTTTAAGTGTTCCTTACAGCCAAAAGGTTGGAATGTTAAATGAAAATAATTTTGAGGCATGTCTGTGATTATTTTTTTTTCTATACAATTAAACATTTGAATTAACATTTTCCAAGAGTGGTGCTTCCATACTTTTTGCCAGGGATTATAAAATGTACCCCTAATTCCTGAGGTTTTTCACTAAGTGAAATGCAAAAAATTAGATATTCTTTCAATAGTTCAGCAAGTACAAGCTAGTGAAAAGCTATTGCCACTTGGATTCAACACTGCTTCTGTTACGAAAGAAGCACACAACGTTTTATAAAAAAAAAAATATTCCAGCCCAAAAAGCCTAAAGTGGCAAGTATGCAGAATAGCTGGCGGGCAAGAAAGGATACAGATTTGTTTTCTGAATTTATACCAAATTGTATGCCTGACTCATAATGAACGTGTGAATTTCCCAGACTTGAAGGCTACCAAGGTGGTTTAACAGAAATTAATGTACTCTGGTTTGTTCCTGCAAGCTCAACCATTGGATTTCTTAGCTATAGGAATACCATCCCAGCCTGAGGCTGGTAGGCTGAGTAGCAGGTTTGAGAGGAGCCATACCAGTTTTATGGTGGGAGGATGGAATTTTTAGCAACACAAAATCAGAATATAATCAGAACTGGATAGTTCAAAAAATACTTATGTATATTATTTTAAGGAAAATATACTTTGTTGAGTTGATTTTACTCAATGTCATGAAAAAGCTTTTTTATCAGAAAGTGTATTCACCATAGAAATTTGTAAAATATTTTATGAAATATAAATTTTACCAAAAAAAAAAAAAAAAAAATGTTATTGCCGAGGATACCCAAGACACTCATTTTGTAGAGGATGCTCAGTCTTTTTATGAGAGAGAACATCACTGTATACTTGTTGGCAACCTGTGTTAACCAAGTTAGATGGTTTCTTTTCTGATAGGAGGAAGAAAGGTGGAAGATTCTGCCCTCTGAAGTTGGCCATAAACGAGTAAAATATATTCCACAATATTTTGTTTTAGAAAGGTTTGTTGATTTTCTAATCATTAACCACTTGCCCTTCTGAGGATTTACCCCTCTTGCTGACCAGGCCATTTTTTGCATTACGGGGCTGCGATACTTTGACTGACAATTGCGCGGTCATGCAACACTGCACCCAAATTAAATTTACGTCCTTTTCTTCCCACGAATTGAGCTTTCTTTTGTTATTTGAGCGCCTGTGCATTTTTTATTACTTGCACTATAAAAAAGATTTGACAATTTTGAGAAAAAAAACAATATTTTTGACTTTTTGCTATTAAACATGTCCAATAAAAAAATCAAATTTTGTCATAAATTTAGGCCAAATGTATTCTGCTACATGTCTGTGCTAAAAATAAAAAACAATCCCAATACGTGTAAATTAATTGGTTTACGTGAAAGTTATAGTGTTTACAAATGGCGGTATATACTGGAATTATTTATTTATTTTACTGGTGGAGATCAGCAACTTGTAGCGGGACTGCGGCGGGCATTCTGACACTGGGTGAACTGACTTGGTGTCACTGACATCTGCAGTGACACCAATACCGTGATCAGTGCTATATAAAAAAAAAAAAAAAAAAAGCACCGACACTGTACTAATGGCACTGGGCGGGAAGGGGTTATCATGAGGGACGATCAAATTTTAACTGTGTGCTGGGAGTGTTTTTACTGGGGGGCATGCAGAGCAGTGTGCCCGAGCTGACAGGGAGGAGGACTGTTAGTAAACAAAGCAGCCCTCCTCCCCATCAGAGATCCTCGGTAATCTCCGGGCTCCGGCAGGGAATCACCGGCTGGGACCCCGTGATTGACAGCCACAGCCGCAAACGGCGGCGCGGGTAGGGCACGCGGGCATGCTACCCGGAAACACAAAATCGAGTATATATACGTGATTTTGCGCACCCCTGCCACCCTGTAACAGTATATCTGCTATAGGGCGGTCGGGACATGGTTAATGGAGTCCAACTGGCATTCATTTTCAAACACAGTGAAAAGCCAATTGGAAATGTTCTCTTATATTGTTAACAGTGAATGTGGTTTTCATTCAGGAAAGTCCATTTGTTCCAAAATTGAATGTTAAAAGCAAACAAAATTTTTAAGCTTGTTTGAACGATTTTAGTCAAGTTACCGAATATACTCAGTATTTTTGTATGAATGTTTGTTCACAAAATCTATTAGTGTATGGCCATCTTAAGTTATTCATTAGTCAAGTCTGTAATCTGATACCTCTTGCTATTCCACAGTACAGTTTGTAAAAAAAAGCAATCTTTTTTTGCAAGAAGGTTGCAAGCATTAAGAGTACTGAATATGTGAAACCCTCACCTTGTAAAAACAACCCATTCAGTTTAAAATTAGGATGCAAGGCAAAACAATTCGACTGCATAAGGGACTTAGAGAGGTGGGGTGGAGACTGCAGAGGGGCATGTGAGCAGTTGGCAAAGAGAAAGCAGTACACTGATCTTCTCTGTGAAGAGCGCTGCAGGGGGAGCGTGTCAACACAAATCTTGGCCATTGGACAACAGGCAGGCTGTGCTCACACAACTAAGCTAAAAAAAACTGACCACACCATCAGTAAAAGCAAACCCTACGCAGTCAATGGCACAAATGTGCAGTAGAAATAAAGACTATGCAGCGATAAAGCTGACCATACACCTTAAGATCTAACTGTACATTTTTTTTTTTTTTTTTTTTAGACTTGCCAAAACTTTTAGTAGCGTATGTGCCTGTCTGACTGGATGCAAATTGTATGTAGATTGTCTATGTAAATCCTAGCATTACATACATATATTTTATTTTTTTAAATTTAACCGCTTGCCGACTGCCTCACATAGTATGGTGGCAGGGCAGCTCTCTTGCGCTAGATCGAGTATTTAGAAAGTGAACCAGCTCTTTCGGTAGGGGGCACACGTGCCCCTGCCGTCCCAGCTGTGCTGTGATTAGTGACAGCGCAAGCCAATCAGCTTGTCCTGGCCAGTGATTGACAACCGGGAGACATTGATTGGAGAAGAGGAAAACAGGACAGAGGTCTGTGATTTTGAACAATACAGAGCTCTGTCCTGTCTTCTTCAATCAGCGGATCCCGGTTGTCAGAGCTCTGTGATTTTAAAACACAGGGCTCTGTCCTGACAGCAGA